AAAACCTAATAGCGAACATAAAACAGCTGGGTCTAAATGAACATCTTTATAAGACCATGCAGAAAGCTGTACTCCTCGGGACATCCAGAGGTGTAAGAAAATTTTTGGGAGATACTCCAACATACCAAGTCCCTGAGGGCTCGATAACACGGAAAGAGTCCCACCAGAGCTCAATCCTTTTGATACCGTAGGTATCTGGGATGAGTGAATTTTCCCCTCAGAGGGAGTGTGAGCCGTATGGCTAAATCTGGATAATACTCAAAAGCAAACTTAATTCCAAGCACATAGTAAAAGCAATAAACACATACGCAATACCACCTTTCACATAGTCCTCATTTGGCGTTATAATTTTTGTCGAATACGGAAACTGAAGAACTAAATAGACCAAATAGAGCCGTGATAACTAAATACGCATCAACCACTCCAAATCATACATCCAATGTATGACTACCACGCACACAAGGCGGAAGAAGAACGGGGTGTTTTGGAAATATCACCAACTACTTAAAAATAAAAAAACAGCAAAAAAAACAAAGACAAAAATATACAGAGCAGCAATTAGACCGATGATAGCATACGGAGCAGAAGTAATGTGTCTTACGAAGAAAGATGAAGAAAAAGTAAGAATTATTAAAAGAAAAATTATAAGAATAAACAGACCAATAAAGCCAGAACAAGGAGAATATATAAGACTAATCAAGCATGAAATAAAAAATATAAATATAACCGAAGAGGAAGACATAGTAAAATTTATTAATCCATAAAGACTGAGATAGTAATAGATAATAATCTTCTTCTTTAAGTGCCATCTCCCAATCGGAGGTTGGATATCATCATCACACTTTATCTACTGCTGCTCTAAAGAGTGCTATAGAACTGCATTTAAACCAGTCCCTTAAATTCTTCAACCATGACACTCTCCTTCCTTCCTCCTCTTATCTTTCCCTGTATTATCAGCCTTAGCAGTTCATATAGCTGTCCCCTCATTACGTGTCCCAGATATTGTAACTTTCTGATTTTTATTGTGTTTATTATTTCGCATTCTTTGCCCATTTTTCGCAATAATATTAGTACATATTTGATATAATTACTGTCCACACAACTAGGCAACTTAACCAATGGATATAATGATAGAAAACTGCAATTTATGTTAGGGTTTAAAAATATTACAGAATCATCAACATTGTAGAGAAATCTACAATTAAGTGAAAAAATGTTCCAGAGCAGCATGCCGCAGTAGAGCCATCTCTAGGATCAGAAACAAATTAATCGAGGGTGAAGATCAACCTTAAATAGCTTTTTAAGGGTAAGTGAAAATGCTAAAAATTCCGTAAATTGTTAATAATTAAAAAACCATTATGTTTTATGAGATTAAACCACAATTGTTTTAATGAAAATTGCATTTTTAACTAACGTTCGACGTTTCGATTTCCATTGCGGAAATGGCCTTTTGGTAAAAAAAATCTGAGGGTGGTGTTTTTCACTCGAGACCCTCAGAATAACAAATTCTGACTGTTTTGTGTTTTGTTTTTTGTATTATTTTTTTGTGTGTGTATTTACGTAGATTATGTTTGTATATTGTGTGTTGCATATGTGTTGTGGAATATGTTCTTGTAAGTGTTTCTGAATAGCTTGTGATGTTTTGTTGTTTCCTTTCTTCAATCATGTGGAATTCCTTGTTTATAAATGCCAATAAACTGACCACTATATGGTAAGATCAAAATGTTACCTACAGTATCGACCTCGGCTACTACATCAAAATAACAACCAACTAGCTCAATCAAAACCCCTGGAATCGAATCTACCTAAATACAATATTGATGCACTGCAAAACGACTCGACATCATTCTTATATAAGCTGCGACTTAGCCAAAAATTGGCAAACCTGATCTACTCCTCAGCCCAGAATACCTATAAAGAGATAATCAATAAAATCAATGAAGCAGCTTACGAAGCACTCGGCACAATCCAAAAGAACAAAAAGAATACTCCATTGTGGTGGACAAATGACATCGCCAATGCAGTACACAACAAGAAACAAGCATATCAAAAGTGGCTGCAAACAAATGATCCAGATAATAGATGAACATATGCAAGATCAAACAGAGAAGTAAAAAATTTAGTAACTAAAGCAAAAAATATTTCCTGGGAAAGTAAATGCGAAGAACTCAACAAATATATAGGGTCAACAAGATCAAGAGAAGCATGGAAAACGGTAAAAAATCTGAGAACAAACAGAAAAGAAACGAGTAGAATAGATTTAATAGAAGAAAAATCTTGGATCGAACACTACTCACAACTTTTGACTGAAACAAGACCTCTATTCACGAACATCAGTACAACAACATATGAACTGGAATTCAGTGAAGACGATGAAATAACAGTACAGGAAGTCGAGAATGCAATATGAACTCTAAAAAATCGGAAGTCATGCGGACCACAAGGTATACCAAATGAATTATTAAAACATAGCCCATAAGTATTACGGGGATTACTGGCGTATGTCTTCACCTTATTCTATAATGGACACGACTTACGACCGGAGTGGACAAAAGCGCATATTAACAACATCTACAAAAAAGGAGATAGAAAGAATTGTTCAAACTACAGGGGGCTAAGTGTCATAAATTCACTCTCAAGACTGTATGGAAAAATAATAAAAAATAAAATTGAAAAAGAGATGACAGATGTAGAAGAACAGAATGGTTTTCGTGCAGACAGATCCTGCATGGACAGTATATTCTCTCTAAAGCAAGTTATCGAGAAAAGATTAGCCCACAACCTTTCAACTCATATAGTCTTTATAGATCTGACAAAGGCATACGATAGTGTACCACTTTCAATGCTTTGGGTAGCAATGGAAAAACAAGGAATAAGCAAAAAAAATATACAAGCAGTACAACAGCTCTACAAAAATATGACGGCAAACATTAAAACTGGAAATAGATTAACTAGAGAAATTCCTATTAGTAAGGGCCTAAAGCAAGGCTGCTGCATAGCATCTACACTCTTCAAAATATATCTAAATGAGGCACTCTCACTGTGGAGAAGAAAGTGCTGCAATATGGGCATCCCAATCGGAGATGATAGTTTGTACACGATACACTTCGCTGACGACTAAGCCATTCTAGCTGAAGACGAGAGTGATATAAGCTACATGCTTAGAAAACTGGAAGATGAGTACACCAAATGGGGCCTCACAATTAATATACAAAAAACTGAGTACTTAGTTGTAGGAGAAAAACCAGAAAGCCTACAAATCGAAATGGGAACTATAAAACCAACAGACAATTTTAAGTACTTGGGAGTCCAAATAACACCAAAAGCAGGAAGTAGCGAAGAAATACATTCCAGGATTGGCCAAGCAAGATCAGCCACCACACAGCTACACGAACTATTATGGAATAAAAAAATAACAAAAGAAAATAAAAGAAGAATTTATAAAACAATAATAGAAAGAATTGGACTGTACGGCGCCGAACTCTGGGAAATAAACCAAAGAAACAAATCAAAAATTAAAGCCATGGAAATGAACTACTGGAGACGATGTTGCCAGCTCACTAGACTTGATAGGGTGAGAAACGAAGATATTCGGAGAGAAATGGAAATCGATCTAGACATAATAGAGACAATCGAAGCCAAAAGACTTAACTGGTATGGACACCTTCAGAGAATGCCGGAAAACAGATGGCCAAAAAAATAGAAGAATGGACTCCGCCAACAAGAAGAAAACGAGGTAGACCAAGACGATCCTGGAGAGACGATGTCGACGATGCAATGACCGCCAGAGATCTAACAACTGAAGATTGCTTCGACAGAAAACGCTGGAAATTAGGATGCGAGAAGCGGCGCCAGCTGTAGAAGACTCGCTATATATATATATATATATATATATATATATATATATATATATATATATATATATATATATATATATATATATATATATATATATATATATATATATATATATATATATAAATGCCAATAAGTAGTCTTTTTTGTCAAAACCTTTGTGTTAGCAGTTTTTTTTTTCGGGCTCATCATTATAATGATTTTGATTTTTTTTTAATTTTCACGTTGTGGTAAGTGGTAGTTTAAATATCTGTTCGTGAGGGTTGGTTTTCTACAAACTTTGGTTGCATATCCTGTGTCCTCCTTTGTGATTAACACATCTAAAAAAGGAAGTGAATTGTTGTTTTCTTTTTTCATGGTGAATTTTATCGACTTACTTGTTGTTGATGTACATCAGAAATTTATTCAATGTTTCTGGTCCGTGAGGCAAAATGGAAATCTATCATTTACATGTCTCCACCATACTATGGGTTATTTGTCTTGTTTGTGTACAATGTTTTGTACGACATACTCCATGAACCTATCCACTAATAATCGATTAGTTGTGTTAGTACTTGGAAATAAATTAAAGTGAAAAAATAGAAGATCTATCAAGAAGGAAGAAAAATCAGTCTATAATGGTAGCTTAAATTGATTTACTGTTTTAGCTAAGTGTTTATGAGTAAATATGAAATATAAAAATATTTCTGATGTAAAGATAATTTACTTTGGTTCTGAAACTGTTTCCTTGTGGTATTTTTATATGTATTATCTACTTTATTTACTGGAAATAAATGACAATTTTAATTGAAAATTAAATCTTAAATGTCGTTATAACATTTTTTCCATTAAAACAGTGGTTTATTATTATTAAACATAGCAGATAATCTGATCTAATTTGTAATGACACTTTTATCAAATGGTTAATGATTGATTTGTTTATTTGATAATTTATTAATTTTAAAATAATATTGCATATGAGTAAATATGAGAGTATGGGTATTTATAATATGATTTAACATATAATGAACACTTTCAGCGAATAGGTTAATGATTGATCTATTTAATTCATAATTTGTAAAGTATTTATAAACCATTATCTAATTAATATGATCAAACGATTTGGAAAGTCAAAACACAACCTTGCATGCAATTTTAATTTATACCTTTCTCGTCAAAATCTCTACATCTCTTTTTACCACCTGCAGGAACAACTGCACTAGATACATTCTGCGAATTACGTCCTTCTGATTCTCCATTATCCTGAGGTGTTCCTGGTCTGGACCCCTCTTTTTCTTTGGCAGAATCCCTGCGATCTCTTTTCTCCAAGGACCTCGACCTGCTGCGACTAGCTGAAGATCTATTATTATTTCTGTACCTATAATAATAAAAAAAAATTAGGTCTTTGACAATTTATAAAATTCAATAATATTCCATTCATATTAATTCGAATTTGTAATTCAATAATACTAGATTACCAAATCGTACACAAGTATACAGAATATTACAAAAAATACAGATCAAAACAGTTAAAATTGCTCAATAAAGCAATTTAATCAAATATAACTAGAACCTTACATAGCTATTCAAATTACCTATGTACTTACCTACTCCTATGTGTATGTCTAGGACTCCTCGATCTTGATCTGACTCTTATAGGTGAAGGAGTTCGAGACAATCTTCTTCTGTCATATCTTCTAGGAGGTGATTTATTTCTCCATATTCGAGGTCTATCAGGTCGCTCTCTTTTTTCTCTCTCTATCCTGTGTTGTTCTCGTTCTCTTTCATTACGCTCTCTAGATTTCTCCCTGGACCTAGATCTTTTTGATCTATCCCACGATCTTGATCGAGATCGTGTTCGATTCCTAGGAAGAGATGGGTGGCGAATCGGGGAACGTCTGCGAATCGGGCGTTCTTCTCTCTCCTGTATAAAATATGGTGATAAAAGACATCATGAATAGCAAAAATAACTACTATATTATGCTATTATGTTACAACTTAAGCTATGGTCTATAAATGACTAATAAGCATAAATTAAAATAAACACTATGTCTCCCTTCGATAGCCCTGGTAAGATAAATGAATACAATTTATAGGTGCAATAAGACAATGAAAAATGTTTGTAATAAACAATTAAAACTTCGTTTCAGGTATAAGAAAACTATGGCTAGACTTACCGGTTGGATTCAACGTAGTTTTTGACAATTGTACAAATGAATATCAACGACTTTCTATGTGTTTTCTGTTCAACACTTAACTTAGAATTTAAACAATGACAATCACAGACAACCCCAGATTTAAATGGCAATGAGATAGAATACATCCAAGAATATATTTACCTAAGAAAAATTTTGAAACTTGAAAAAGAGATCCAAAATGTGGAAATCGCTAAAAGAGCAATACTGGCATGGGCAGGTTTGGAAAATTTAGTTGGCTACTTAAGAACCATAAAATACTCAATACTTGAGGAGCAAAGTGTTCATCCAATGCATCCTTCCTATCATGACGTATGGATGTCAAACTTGGACTCTAACCAAGGCAAATATGAACAAATTAGCCACAAAAGAAATGCAATGTTGCAAGGCAATGTTAGGTATAGACTGTCAGATAGAAAGAGGAACAACTTGCCGACATCAAAAACAAAAGTCAAGGATATCACAACAAAAATTGTCAAACTCAAATGGAGCTTCGCAGGCCCCACACTGCTAGAGAAGACCAACGTTGGAACGCCATCGTTGAACGCCAGAAATAAATTGGAAGTACTTTGCTCAGGATAGACATCAATCAAAGGAGTTGGGAAAGGCCTATGTCCAAAAATGGAGGAAGAAGGATGATAAGAAAAAGATTCTACTAATAATCATACTAATTATGCAGGTAAATCAGGTTAACAAGGTTGACTTAAAGGTGATACAACCTAAAAGATTGGTAGATGTAAGATTTATTTAAAAATAATGTTGAATAAACAAAGTAAATACAAATATAATGGTGTATACAAAGATATAAATTTTAAAATCTTAACTATACGTAATTTTATATATAATTGATCTCTTTATGTGCCAGTGTGCGAGTCTGATTCTGAGCTCTCTGGTTCTCTACACAGATAGACTGACTGCGGAAGTTTTCATCCTCGACACGTCGCATCCCGATGGCTAATAAGAAACGTCCTATGGTATTGTTGCGTAACAACAATATTTAATATTTTTATTTAATTTTGTATTATATCACACTGCATATTAGTTTAGATTTATAAAATTCCTTTGTCCTGTAAGGCGCCGATAGCTTGCAATCAAATAACATTCTAGACACAAGTTTCTAGAATCTTAACATTAACTTTTTTCATAGAATCGTAACAATGAAAGGATTAGTATTTTCCAAATTATCGGTTTGACTCATTCGAAAATTCCGAAAGTTGAGACACATACCCTTCTCAGGTAGTTTTTACCAATGAATTCAAAGTAGAAGGTATTTGAAATGTAAACATATCCTTTATATACGTCGAGGGGGTCAGGGGGGGAGATTTCTGAATGTTAACAAAATTACGAGCGGAGAGATTGAAGGCAGTTCAAGTGAGTATCATTTCAAAATCCCGTATTGGATGAGCGCTAGGCTCTACTCGCACTAGCCGCACTTCAAAAGCTTTAACACGGTCGGGACATTAATAAGTTTTACTCAGTTCGTGTCAATATTGTATCACCGACAAGTTATCTAGTTTTATAGTTTCACAAAGTTTAGTTTCATAAATCAGCTATCGTAAGCAAGTTATCGGCGTCCAAAATACGTTGTAATTGTTTAAATAGACTTGTTAAAACGTTCTTTTCGAATCTTTCATTTGTCCCAGTTTTCTGGGTGGTCCTTCAAAGAAGTATATAAAGTGAACCTATTTCCCTAAGGAAAAACCTTGTTCCCCAAGGGAAAAAACCAGCGACCTATGACTCGTGCGCGAAACAAAGCCATCAGGACAAGGTGTAAGGACAAACACACCTGCATCTTCGCTCAGGTATAAAACAAAAGAACATGTATGAATAAGCCATTATTAAATAAACACCCGAGGATCAACTGATAACATGATATAGGGGCTACAGATATGTAATTAACTGTAGATTTGTTGATTGAACATTACACACATGCGCACACACATGGCTCAACACAAAATACACATACACCCTTCACCAAGCTCAATTTTGGCAAATCGCCAGACAGCTGCACTACAACTACTTTATAAAACAATAGTATGACCAGTGCTCGCGTACTGATTAAAAATATGGACAAGGGAGATGCGAAATGAGGAGCTGCTGCAGCGAATCTTCGCAAGAAAAATGTTGAGGGCTGAGTTATAGGGTCTATGGAGAAAGCAATATAATTATGTAATAATGGTGGGCCATGTGATGTGGATGGATGGAGGTGACCTTACTGAAGTACCTAGACTAAACAAGCTGCTTGGAACGAGAAGAAGGAGATGACCTAAACATAAGCTCAGATATTTGGATGGTGTGGAGGAAGATTTGAGAGAGATTACAATATGGGGATTGAGAAAATGGGCGCTCGACAAGGAAAGATAGAAGAGTATTTTTAGACAGGCCAAGGATCTCAAAAGACTGTAGTACCATCTAATGATGATGGTTTAAGAACCTAAGTTTGTGAGCTTGTGTTACCTGCAAGTGATCAATTGGATGTTTTGAAATCAATTGGATACAATTAATCAAAAGTTCCTTTTAGTACTTATAATTTAATTTCCATACCCCCTCTGTGGCTCAGTGGTAAGAGCGCCTACCTTTAAACCTAAAGGTCATGAGTTCGAATCTCATCTGGGTGGAGAAATTTGCATTTATTAAAAATTAATGAATGAAAATAATTTCTATCCTTGTGCGATCGGTACTCACCAGAGGGACCGCAGACGTTCGGATACAATTAGCGTCTCTTAGCAAAGACAAGGGCGTAAGTAGCAAGCCGTAAGACAGGGTTGTATACTCTCACCGACCTTATTCAATCTATACTCCGAAGACATTATAAACACAGCACTTTCGGATCAAAATATAGGTATTAAGATAAATGGCATCCGAATAAACAACTTGAGATATGCCGATGATACGGTACTAATCGCAGAAACTTGGGAAGATCTTCAAATACTAATTAACAAAATAGTAGAATGCAGTGAAGAACACGGATTATCACTTAACATAAGCAAAACAAAAATAATGCTAATATCTAAATCACCACAAAACTTCCCTGACATAACCGTGCATGATCAAAGAATCGAACGTGTAAGAAGATATAATTACCTGGGAACTGTTATCAACGAAAATAATGACTGCTCTGAAGAAATCAGAACCAGAATAGAGAAAGCTAGAGCCACATTTACTAAATTGAAAAAGGTGTTCTGCGGAAGAGATCTAAGTCTAAAACTTAAAATTCGCCTTTTGAGATGTTACGTTATGTCAGTTCTCCTCTACGGTATGGAAACATGGACATTGAAAAAGATCGATACCAAAAAGATAGAAGCATTTGAGTTGTGGATGTATCGTAGAATATTAAAAATACCCTGGACAGAGAAAGTAACAAATGTGGAGGTTTTGCGGAGAGTGCGGAAAGAGAAAGAGCTGATACTTACTGTTAAAAAGCGCAAACTACAATATTTGGGACATGTTATGAGGGGAGATAAATACCAGTTGCTGCAATTGATTATACAGGGAAAGATAATGGGAAAGAGATCTATAGGAAGAAGAAGGCATTCATGGTTGAAAAACTTGAGAGAATGGTACAATTGCACCAATTACCAACTGTTTAGATCTGCAGCATCAAAAATATGCATAGCTTTGATGATAGCCAAACTTCGGAACGAAGACGGCACTTGAAGAAGAAGAAGCAAAGACAATGACGTCGACTTTGATAAGTATCAAGACAATTACTCTACACACACACACACACACACACACACTACACTAGGTACCTGACTGTACCATGCCAATCATGATCAATGATCATAGTTGTCGAGGCATTAACCCAATAAAAAAAAATAAAAAATTTAATTTCCGTTGGTATGATTTGTATTTTTGTTTTAACATAAATAGACTATCATCTATTTATTTGGTATTGTATTTAATAAACTTGCCTAAACAATGTTATCATATATTCTGTTCAATTATCTATTTATACTGTTGGCAAAAGTTTTTTTCAACAGTTTTAGGCATGGATTAAGCATACATTTTTTTTTTAATACAAACAGTAGATTTCCTGTTTTCAATTGTGTTTTGAAAGTCATCAACTTGGTAAACAAATATCAAGTGGTAAAAATAGAAATTTGTATGTCACAAAATTCAACAAAATTATGAGGGATAGAAAAATGTATTTGTGACTAGAAACAAAAGAGATGAAGAAAGAATAGGACCCTGTATGTAACAAAGGGGCAGCCTTAAGAAACATGCTGGATAAAAAAATGTCTGAGGCAAGTGGAAGCGACCAGAGGATATGCATTTAATACTAGATAGTTTTTCAATTGATTATATTTTTGAAACAGGCATAAATCTATATAAAGAGTCAAAGTGAAGAAAATGAACTAAATTAAAATTTCTAATAGGTAAAGAAATAATAAATAAGACTTACTCACAATCAATTTAATTTAACTATCTGACGACCAGTTTCGTTTTCTACAATATGCAAAGCATCCTCAGGTCTCGATACAAAGTTAAAAGATCTGAGGAAACTTTGTATCGAGACCTGAGGATGCTTTGCATATTGTAGAAAGCGAAACCGGTCGTCAGATAGTTAAATTAAATTGATTGTGAGTAAGTCTTATTTATTATTTCTTTACCTATTTGAAATGGACTCACACAAGCAAAACATTCATGATTTTAAAATTTCTAACTTGTTTTAAGTTATTTTCAACTTACCATATCAGAATTTTTCCTAGCTTCCCTATCTCTTTTAGCTTCAAGATCTCTTTTGACTTCAAGGTCTTTTTTTGTGTTTCCATTAATTGCTTCCTTAGGACTGAGTTCTCCAGGTGGTACTATAATTTTGGTTTCCTTGGATACTTCTTTACTATTTGTTTTACATGTATTTGGATTAGGTGGATTGGTATTTGGTATCACTGGAACATTTAAATAGTCTTTGGTGGTTAATGTTTGAAACACCAAGTCCACAAATGATTTAGTATCTGAAAAATAAATCAGTATATACTTTAATAATATAATGACTAGAAATTATGAGAATAATGTTGCCACTTATTGAAGAAGAGGAATAATAATAGTTATTCAATATTTGAACTATTTTTTTTTGTCAATAATTTTTTATACTATCATTGTACGATATTTCATTTTTAAGTTCTTTGACCACTTTGCAATAGTTTATGTTTTGAAAAAAAAAATTAAAATAGTATGTTAAGTTAATAGCCATAAATAAATTTATCATACTTCCTCAACCTACTATTTATCCAACCAAAGATTTATCAAAATCTTTTAGTAGACCATTTCAAAAAATTACATAATATAGTTTCAAGTTATACCAACAACCAACTAACAGAGAACCAACTACAGAAAAGTAAGTCAAGTTTTTAAGAATTCAACTTCAGTCCAATTAATTACATGCAGTTCAAAACCTTAAATGTGTCCCTACTATGTACACAAATCAAATGGTATTCATTGGTAGATATTATTTTTATTTATTCCATGAAAGTATAAATGTGACTTAAAAATGTGTACTAAAAATACTAAATATACAATTACAGACCCTGAGAGTATATATGGTTGAAATTATAAAAAAATATACAATAAAAACATTAATATAATTACTTTAACAGATTAAAAATTTTGAATAAGACGTGCAAACAATTTGTAACATAACATAACAATATCTTTATTTTTAGAAAACAATATACATTCAGTGAACATAAAATTATTTAAAAAAAACAGTGTCACAAACGAAAATATTATTTACTTATTCCTAACCGTTACATATGCAAATAGTCCTCCACAGAATATGGCTCAAGAGCTACCAGTAATTTAAATATTTTATGTTTATACACACTTAATCTTTCCTCCCTTTTAATAGGTTCAGGCAGTTTATTAAACAATTTGATGCAGCAATAAAGAGCGTTTTTTTCTGTTATACTTAACCTGTGTATTGGAATTTTATAATTATATAACCTGGTATTTACTATACTATTGGGCTCAAAGTTCCTAAATAGTATTTTATTTTTATATAGAAACAGTAAGCATTCTTGAATAAATACAGCATAAACTGTTAAAATATTATTACTCCTAAAATGCCCTCTACATGATTCCCTACTTTTTAAGTCAAACATAACTCTGATTATTTTTTTCTGAACCAGAAATACATTATTTATGTCCCTACTGTGTCCAAAATTTATTAGACCATATCTAAATTTTGCTTCAAAATTAGCATGATACACTGTTTTTAATGAGTTAGTATTCATGTATTTTTTTTAGAACTCTAAAGCTGTAAATCACTTTACTCAAAGACATACATAACTGGTCAACATGTTTATCCCAACATAAAAAACTATCAATATATAATCCTAAAAATTTGGTACTGCTGCTGATATTTAAAGTGTCATTATTTACAATAATACTGTTTGGCATATCTGAATGTGCATAATTTGTCTTAAACAAAAGAAGATCTGTTTTATTTTGATTTAAAACCAACCTATTCATTGAAAACCAGTCTTTAGCTTTCTGGAACTCTAAACTAGCCTTAACGCTTAGAACAGACATGTCTTTACCACTGACTAAAATGTTAGTATCATCTGCATAATTTGTTATGCTGGAAGTAGTATTAGCCACTAGACCATGAAGATCATTGATATAGATCACAAACAGTAAAGGACCAATCACACTTCCTTGTGGTACTCCAATATTGATAGTGCTTTCAGATGAGATGCCGATTTCAGTGTTTTTATGTATTTTTACTAAATGTCTCCTATTTGCCAAGTAGGACTTAAACCAGTTCAATGCTGGTCCACGTATACCATATTTCTCCAATTTATCAAATAATATGTCATGCACTAAACAGTCATATGCCTTTGATAGGTCCAAAAAGAGACCCAAAGCCATATGACCAATCTCAGTACATTTCAAAATATCCCAGACAAATTGAAAAATCGCAGTCTGAGTTGATTTTCCCTGTTGATAACCATGCTGATTTGCACTAATAATATGACATTTTGTTAAAAATTCTGTTATCCGCCTATACATAGTCATTTCTAAGATTTTTGAAAAGGAACATAGAAGGCTAATTGGTCTATAGTTATTAATTAATTTAGGATCACCCTTTTTGTAAACAGGTGTTACTATGGCAGTTTTCAGGCATTCAGGAAATACACCAGATTTTAGTGAATTATTAATGATTGTAGTGAGAGGATTCACTATCTCCTTTATACAAAGTTTAAGGATTTTAGTGGGTATTTCATCAATTCCACAACTCATTTTGTTTTTTAAATTTTTAGTTATATCCATAATTTCAGTTTCTGTCACAGGTGCGACAAACACTGAATTTATGTTACTTGCTATGTTGTCTTTATATTCAGTGTATTGTAATTGAGATAAAGTGTTATTTAAAGAAGTATTTAAGTGTATCATGTATTTATCAGCAATCTCTTGAGGACTACCCTCTACTTTTATTGAATTTACACTTTTTAATCGACCATTAATTTCACTAACAATTTGCCACATGCATTTATTTTTATTGGCAGCTTCAGATATCCTGTTTTCATATAGCTTTGATCGTTTTGTTATTAGTTTCTTATTATATTCTTTTTTTACCTGTCTATAGGAATCATAGAATTTATGGTTAACTCTGCTCATTGTAAACAAGATGTCTAAACGAGTCTTACATTCTATTATCTCTGGATCATCTCTTTTATTAAGGCCTTTTTTACGTTGCCTAGAATCTAACTTTTTAAAAGGAAAGCACTGATTGAATATATACAGAAACTGATTTAAGAAAGTATTCCATTGATCATTTACACATTTGTAACTTAAATTAATCCAGTCATGATTATGTAATTTACTTATAAAGGTTTCAATATTATGTGTACTAAAATGTCTTTTCATTTCAAGAGTATTCATTTCTGCTTCCTCTACCTGAAAAGTTAATTTTTGGGCAGAATGATCAGAGATTCCAGCGTGCAAGACTTCTACTGACACATATGATTGCATATTTGTTAGTATGTTATCTATACAAGTTTTAGATGTGGCAGTTACTCTAGTGTAGTCTTCAATTACATGACAAATATTATATGAGTTAATTAACATACAAAATTTTATTTTATCTAATGTGTTATTCTTAAGATCGATATTGAAATCTCCCCCTATAATTATAATTGTGTTTTCTATCATAATTGAAGGGGTGAGTGGATGAAGGGAGTAAGTGACATTTTTTAAGAAAATGAGTTATTCGCATGGATGAAGGTGGTAAGTGCTAACTTAAATTTTCCACTTATCCCCAGCCTTCTATGATTTAAAATAATTGAGATAGCCAGCGTATGAAGGAGGTAATTGACCATACTACTTTAAATATCTAGTGAATGAAGGAGGTAAGTAACAAGATAAAGTACTTACCTCCTTCATCCATACCACAGAGAATAAAAATTGTGACATACCTCCTTCATGTATTCATCAGCTGACATCGGATGACAACAAATTAAAGTTTTTAGGTTATGTGCAAGTGCAACACCCGCTACTGCTTGTGTTAGTGTTCTTAGCTGTTTTAGTTTATTTAATTAGTTATAAAGTGATTTATTATGACTAGTACTAGGGGAAAATTTTTGACAGACTTGGCTTTACAACAATTACAACAAGAATCCACTATTACAGAAGAAGTTGGTGATAATGAAACCAAGATATCAGGTAAATATTATTCTTTAGTAGTTTCAAGTATTTTGCAAAATATTAATTTTAATTGATTGATTTTCATTTATTTAAAGATAAGCCAAGTTTTTACATTACGTCTAGCCTACAATCTAAGTCTAGGCCTATGTAACTTGCAAAGCATCGGCACGTCTTATGCTGTTGTTTACAAAAAGTTTATTTGGGCTGTAAGCCTACTAGAATGCTTTTAATGACACCGAATTTTGTAAATCAATAAAAATCCATTAGTATTGATAAAATCATATTTTCATTAAGCGCTAAATTAAATATCAACATCATAATAAAACGGCAACATTAGTGATATCATTTTTTTCAGATTCAAATATAGCCAAAGAACATAAAAACCTACTGGATGGCTCTAGTATCTACATTCAACCTTGTAGCTCAAATTATCAGAATCATTCTGATGAACTAGAACTGAAAATCCAAGGTACAGAACGTACACGACCATCCAACAAAAACAAACATGGAGTTTACAAAAAACTACGTAAGTACATTAGAAATACATATTATTTGAACAATGGGCTAGTTAAAAAAATCTAATGAAATGGTAAGGTGGTATTAGAACTCTGATGTCTCACTCTGGGTGAGTGTCTTAACCAATTACACTATCCGACCCACGTGATTGTTGCCTTCAAATGTGGTACTTAGCTTATTTAACAGTAATTATTTTCTGTTAATCATTGACTGTCAATAGGGACTTAAATCAGCAGACCAGATTAATAACTAATGTTTTGTTTTTCTTAACAGCTGAAATTAAACCAGGCAAATTTAGGCTTATGCTAATGTTCTGTTTTAGATTACGGAGAAAAACTTGATTCAGATGATGAAAGCCTTTCATCATTATTTAGTGATGACTCAAGAGATGAATACGTTCCTAATGAAAATGAGAAAGATGATATCGAATCAGATGAGGATGGAAATGAGGAAGGCAATAAGGAAGTGGTGAGTGAAGAAACTGAAAATGAGATTATGAATGATGGCAATATACATTTTGAACTACAAGTAAACGGAAATATTCCATATGATGAGATCGTTGCCCTTCCTGAAAATGGAAATGAAGAGGCTCTTAACTTGCCCACTAAAAGCAAGAAGAAAATATTTCCACTAAAAGTAAAAGTAACTAGAAAAAGACAGAAAAATATTGAACAATGGAAAGCACGAAAACGTGCCAAGTGCAGAGAAAGTGGTCTGGCCTACATTTCTAAAATAGGCCAAGTAAAACCCGCTAAAACCGTTAACTCTGGGATTTTGTGCAATGAAAATTGCC